GGGGCTCGATTCCAGGACCCTGGGACCATGACCTGAGCCGAAGGCAGACGCTTAACGACTGAGCCACCCAGCCGCCCCCTAGTGAACTGTTTTCTTGAAAATTTTTTACATACTGAAATTTAGTGTTGATTTTTGGTTAGAATAAAAAGCAAAAAATAGTGCTCTTTATTACAACACCAATAACGATTTGAATGTTTAATTAATAGCAGAAGTAAGTCAGAAAGTATAATTGTGCCACACTTCAAGTGAAGCGGTATATTATTTGGAAGAACCTCAACAACTTTGTCAAAAGAAGTGAAATGAAAAAGAATTATCTGTTACAGATTTTTTTTTCAAACTTTTCCCAATCATTTATTTATCAATCAATAACCTCTGGAGAGTTTATCAGTTGCATGGCTATCCTCTGTATAATAATCATAGTTTTAGACAATCCAAATAAAATGAAACCATATGCTATTTTTGGCAAAACCAGTATGAGGGAGGCTGGGGTAACTGGGTGACAGGCATTAAGGAGGGCATGTGATGTAATGAGCACTGGCTGTTAATATACAACTCATGAATCACTGAACTCTACCTCTGAAACTAATAATACACTACATGTTAATTAATTGAATTTAAATTTAAAAATAAAAATTTTTAAAAAACAGTATTGAATGCTTAATTCTCTGGTTTTTAAACTTTTGTAATGACGTATTTTAAAATTTAAGATCTGTCATGTACTTAAGATCTGTCACATATTTTAAACATAAAATAATGCAAAATTGATGTTTAAAACTTAATTTTGACTTAGCTTGCTATTTTAAAACCAAGAGAAATTTCACTAAATAGAAAAAATAACTCACCTACTACTTACCTAGTAGCAGTAGTATTCAAAGACCATGGCCTATAAACATAAAAGCATCATCTCGTTGAATACAATGAGTAACTTGCTGCCTGAATGATCAATGCAGTAAAATTATAAAAAATCTGAATGTCCACCAAACGTCTTCACATTCCACCAATGATTCCATTCTGTTCAATGCCCGCACGCTCCTAAGCTCCACACTACAGGTTGAAGAGAAGAGTAATTCGTGGTCCTGGGGGATTTTGAAGATGTTAAAGGGAAAAGATGACAAAAGGAAAAGTATACGAGAGAAACCTAAAGTCCCTGAGTCAGACAATAATGAAGGTTCATCGTAAGAGTCAACCAACCAAATTCAGTGCACAATAACTACACTAATAATAATTTAATCAAGTGCTACTAATATTTTATAACCAATAACCAAATTCTGACAGGCTTAAGTCACTTCAACATTATTTTCCATTAGTCATCTTAGCCTCATTTACGGTGTCACCCTTACACTCATGCATTTACATAAGAGGAACACAAAATATTCAAAAATTGTCATACAGTTCAAAGATATATTTTGCCTTCCCTACAAACATGCACAGAGAACACACACATGCACACACACACACACACACACCCCTTTACATACTCATACACACTTCATTTAGTAGAACTTTTTTTTTTCACTGCAACATCATATCTAAAAGCTCACAATTCCAATGCCACATTTTATTATATAATATTTTATAGTGACTACCCTTCAAAATACACATTCTCTTTTAACAAATTAGCTTGCCAGAAATAAAGGACACAATTTGCAATTTCTTTTCTCTAAATACAGTATTTAAAGTCTTTGTAACTCAGTAGATTCTCATCCTTCACTAAAGTCCTTATAAAATGTTAATTCCACATAGAATTCCTCATTTTAAGTCTTTTGTGAGACCTAAAACCAACACTTAGTAAGCAAGACACTCAAAATTGTAAGTAAACATAACAAATCCTCTTTTTTTTTTAACAAATCCTCTCTTGATGCACCATTATTCAAATGCAGACCTTACTTAGAAATAAAGGCAGAGATTATTTTTCCTGTTCCAATTGCACAGCTCCTAATTTTGATTTTCAATCATTTGAACTAATGACCTCTCACACTTTAGCGTAACTGTGCACCATTCTTCTAGTGATGTGTGCTTGTGTGTGTGCTTGAAGTTCAGAAAGTAATAAAAGCAAAGGTCCTTTTCTGTTGCAACTAAATGCCACCCAATCCTGATTTCAGATCACTTCTATTAATAAGCTCTCCCTCCCCAGTTTCAGTGGATATTCCTCTCTTATTCACCATTCTCCTGTTTGGGAAAACATGGTCATACAAAGAATCCTATGACCTTTGTTCATTTCAACCCTCTATTTCTACTCTTTAAGTCAAATAAAAAGTTTTGACCTGAGCTATGCCCAAATGACTTCAAAACATTGAGTCCATTTAATTTACTCTGATTTGATAATATGCCCAAACCTCATAGAACAAATCTGAAAATATCGGTCCAATGGCTATGGGCAAAATAAACCACTGAATGCCTTGACTTTTGACTTTTTTGGCCACCATTGGAGTTCAAAAAAAAAAAAAAAAGTCTTGCGAAATTCCAGATTGATGGGCAGAAACTGAGGTTCAGTGGAGAAATGGAGATGAGAAAGGAATGACCATCAACAGAATTAGCCTTCACAAGCCTCCAGGCTTACTTCTTCATGTCTCTCCTAAATAAAAGGGCTCAATTTCTGTGTTTATATTGGTCTGATTATATTTGTGTTCTCATTTTCTTTCTAGTTTCCCTTCTCCTCCTAAACAATCAGGTAAGTAATAAAAACTGATTATATATTTTATATCTCATTTCTTGCGATGGGGTAGTGGGAAAGCATTGGATATAGTCATGGTATCTGGACTGAAGTCCTGACTCTGAAAATAGTAACTTGTGTAACCTTGTCAAGCAACTTCTCCTTGGGAGGCCACAGCTTCTCAACAGTTAAATAGTGGGAACAGGAAAATTTTTAATATTGATGGCTTTTAAAGATTTTATTTATTCATTTGTCAGAGAGAGAGAGAGCACAAGCAGGGGGAGCTGTAGGCAGAGGGAGAGGGAGAAGCAGGCTTCCCGCGGAGCAGGGAGCCCAATGCCGGACTCAATCCCAGGACCCTGGGATCATGACCTGAGCAGAAAGCAGACGCTTACTGGACTGAGCCACCCAGTGTCACTAATATTGATGGTTTTTAAAATGTTCACCCCATCATAGGGGTCACTATGGAGAAAGGAAGGAGTGGACAGGGATGGACACAAATATTTCTCATGTCTCCTCTACCCCAATTCAGTCAAGCCTGATATATTGGGCTTATGCATAAGGATTTCTAAAAATGTACCAAATTATATGACACCAAGTCCCTTCTAAATCTAAATTTCTTTGATTTTTTTGAATGTATAATTTATATTGTTTTTGGAAAACTTTCCACTGCTAAATGTGAAACCATTTCTTCTTTGAACAATTTTGATCAGCTTATTTTTTTTTTTATCCCTGCTGAAATAGACCTTTCAAAGATTCTTCTTAAACTGACTTTGAACAAAATAAAATGTCTCACAGGAATATTCAGAGGTTTTCAAAAAGTTTGTCTGGATTTATAAATAAGTTGAAAGAGAAAACTAAACACACAGATAATCTATTCTTCCAGACTGTTTATCTGATCTCGTTTTCAGTTATCAGTTTGAAAATACATAAGGCACTAATTCAAATTAATCAATAACTGATGATGAGTTTATATCTTAATCTATGATTTTCAAAAAGTATTCAAGAAATTTAGCTCCACAGAGGGTAAGTATAAAGTGAAACAAATGTGATCAGTTAAGTAAAAAAAATTGGGTTTTTTTGTTTTAATTTTGGTTTGTTCTCAAGTGTGTTTTAAGTACATGTGTATGGAATAGTAATTTTTCCCATTTCGGAAACCAATGATATGTCCTATTTTTAATAATATTAATTATGGATTCTTCACATAGCTGTGAAATTAATTACCTGAGTAGGAGGAGAATGCACACACACAGACACGTATGTATGTAATATAAATACAGTATATGTGGGGCGCCTGGGTGGCTCAGTCGTTAAGCGTCTGCCTTTGGCTCAGGTCATGATCCCAGGGTCCTGGGATCGAGCCCCGCATCGGGCTCCCTGCTCTGCAGGAAGCCTGCTTCTCGCTCTTCTACTCCCCCTGCTTGTGTTCCCTCTCTCGCTGTGTCTCTCTCTGTCAAATAAAAATAAAATCTTTAAAAAAATATATAGTATATATATGTACTCTATACATATATACAGAGAGAGAGGAATTCTTAAAGGAAATTAAATCCTTGCCGCTAACAGAGAGCATCTAAACTTTCTATGATAATCGTTCCTTAAAACATTTGTACTCTCTTCAGCTCATCTCTTCAGCTTAATTTGCTGTGGAGCAACTTAATAGGTGCAGAGAGGGTGCAATCCTCCTGACTTTATTAACAAGAGGTCTAGATGAAAGAAAAGTATCTACGGATTAGAAAAGCCATTGACCCAGTTAAGGGCATGGCCACTTTCCCACCAACACTGGTTTTCAATACCTGCTGGTATGGACCAGACATGTCTTATTAATAGGAATATTCTTTCCATTTTAAGGTGGTACCACACCTAATACTACTATAAGTTAAAAATCAGTGAGGGACAGATCAGTGACTAAAAGAGAATGATAGATAGGTAGAAAGATAGATAGATAGATAGATAGATAGATAGATAGATAGATAGATAGATAGACAGACAGACATAGACAAAGACACAGACATATAAATAATGTATATTATCATAGCATCCCAAATCCCCTAAGAATCAATCTCTACTGCCTATTGCCAATGGCCAGTAATGTTGATTTGTTTGTCAGCAATCTACTAATCCTGCCATTCATCACATGCGTGGATCTGCAAATAATCTCAGTTACTGTTTGGGGAGATTTATCCTGATAATGCTAGTTACAGTCATGGTCTCTGGTTTTTTTGTTTTTTTTTTTTTTTGAGGGAAATTTAGCAGAGATATCCAAGGAGAGAAAAACCTCTCCCCTTCAAGGAACAGACAATGCTTCCAGGAGAAATGTACAGAGACCCCAGGAAAACTGATTTTGTTGTCCTCAAAACAATCTTTATATTAAAAACATCATCGGATGCTCATATCAAAATTCAAACTAAAAGTGTTTCAACATTTGATATTTTGCCTTTTGTTAGACATGGGAGATGAAGTTTATGATGATGTGGATGCCTCTGATTTCCCTGCGCCACCAGCAGAGCTGAGGTAAGTAAAATGTTCTCATTTTGAGATAAAAATCCGACTGCTTAAGAAAATTCAACTAGAATAAAACCCCAAAGGCATGTACATCTACTGTGTTTGATCCTGTTTACTCTGTCCTCTCTCTGATCTCAGCTCTAAAGTTTCTGCTAGGTTTGTGGGTGGAAGACCCTGATCCCCATCCTCTGCTCCCCCCCTCCCCGGGGTATTTTGCTCCTGATTATTCTCTGCCTGGTGACTCACTGATGTCTACATTCATTTATTCCTTCATGTACTCATTCACTGGGAAAATATTTGAGAGTCTGATCACAACTGATCTCACTGATTCATCTCCTCCCTTTATTTTTACCCTTTTCCCAAAAGCTTTTTTGTCTTGAACACACTTCTTAGTTTATATCTCACCCCTCACCTACCTTCTTCAAATCTCTTCTGTCCTCCACAAGATTTTTTCCTTTTATGGGAAAAAAAAAAAAAAAGATGATTTGTGTTTTCAAAGGACTTTGCCATATCTCTTTTTCACAAAAGCATCAGATTCTCAAAGGTTCCATTCAAATTAAAAAAGAAAAAGTTAGGGGTGAATAGTGACATTCTTCAGCTCACCTAAGGTTTCAATTTAATTTTAGGATAAAACTGTATGAAAAAATGTTAAGATCAGTTAGTACAAAAGGAGTACCATTTGAAACCTCTTTTGAAATAGAAAATAACATGGTAAGATGCTTTTTTATATTCCAATAAACATGTGAGATGAGCTGATACATACGGTGTATAAAAGCAAGAATACCTCTGTAGCTTTCTCAGGAAAAAAGGTGAATAAAAAGATCTTGAGCTTGATTAGTTAAAGGATGAAAGTGACACAAATGGGAGACAATACGCAGCGTCTTCTGAGCAATACTGCAAAAATGCATGAGTGTTTATTTATTTAGTATTTATTTTTTACCAACACTGTTAAGTTAATTTTACTGAACAAGAGAAAGTATCAAGATCAAAGAAACTGAAGAGAGAATATGCTATCATTTCTATGTCAGGATCAAGTTCTATAGGCACAACAAACAAGAAAGATGAAAAGAGAATCCTTCTTTTTTCTGAAAAGAAAATCTAATCTTCAGTAATATGTTAGGTTTGAAAATTCCTCACCATTAGGAAGTCACTTCTATCCCCGACATTTTTTAATGCATTTTTCTGTTTTATATTACTGTAAAAATGTCACCACGTTCCATTAAACAGCTCTCTAGGAACCCAGTTACACACTGGACCTTTTCTTCAAGTAGAATAAACCCCGGCTGATTAAACTTTATGTGATATGTACCATTTTCTTTGCTGCTGCTTATTTTCAGAGTTTAAGACTATTTTATGTTCTCTAACGTAATATTCTATTTTAAACTAAAACTAAACTTCAATAAGTTATTTTCAAAGGGAACTCATGGGCCATTTTTAACATGCATGTATATCCTGATAGTTCCAAAGTGCTAATTTGGGACTGCAAATCCACTACTGACCAGAGCACCGTAACAAAGCAGATACTGAGGCAGGATGCAGAACCCAAGGCAGGACACTGTGCTAATTCATTTCACAGTAAATGAACTAAATTCTGAGATTCAAAGCTTAGGAATCAAACATTTTAAATATATCAGTTACAAACAAAACTTTATTGTAGGTAATCTAGATAAAAATTAAAATCAGTGTTTAGAACTTTTCATTATTCACAAAAATTCTGATTTTTAAAATTCCCTCCTTCAGAGATTCCCAGCCTTTCCCTAACATCCACAGTGAACCCTAGCAAATGTTCCTCAGCCTTGGTTGCAAATTAGTATTACCTGGGGAGCTTTAAAACATATATGTCAGTATCTAGACCCCACTCAGTCTAATTAATTAGAATGTGTTTAATTTAATTAGAATTTCTAGGAATTAGACAAAGGCATTGGTACTTTTTAAAACTTCCCAGATGATCCTGTATGTGGCTGGACTGAAGAATCACTATCATAGGCTTATTCTTATGACAATTCACATCAGTCTAGTTGGTATCTATGAGATAAAATGTTACTCTGGCTCCATTTTAAGTAGATATGAAAACCTGACAAATAGATAAACTTTTCAAGCCATAAAAATCAATTTTTAAAAAAATGTTCTTTTTCATAAAGCCTTTTCTATGATATTGGCCAAGCCACTTAATTATCTAGGAAGGTTTGAAAAAATACAGAGAGTTTGACAATAGGTGGGTTGAATCATATGAAACCTCTGATACGTAACCACGTTCACACTATACCTCGGTAATTTTATATGGTTCACCATAATAGATAATCACTTCCATTTTAACCATAATCTGTATTATTTTGAAGAATCTCTTTTGTGTTATGAAATATTATCACTTATTACAATGAATGTACTAGATTTCTAAGAAAAGGAATTAATTAAAAACAAAATTCAACAAAATTGTAATGTTATGGATGAAGTCTCTATTGTATGCTGTTCTTTTTAAACTAAGCTAAATGTTGTTTTATGTGTGTTCTGCCATCTTAGTCAAGGAGCCAAGGCTAAGACAGAAGAAAAAGACCCCAAGAAGCTAAAAAAGCAGGAAAAAGAAGAGAAAGACTTCAGGAAAAAGTTTAAAGTATGTCATATTTAGATATCAAAGTTCAAAGCGTAATGAAAAAAACCAATGATTTTTAAGTACCAAAATGCACGTATTAAAAGTGTAATTATCGGGCGCCTGGGTGGCTCAGTTGGTTAAGCGACTGCCTTCGGCTCAGGTCATGATCCTGGAGTCCCTGGATGGAGTCCCGCATCAGGCTCCCTGCTCGGCAGGGAGTCTGCTTCTCCCTCTGATCCTCCCCCATCTCATGCTCTCTCTCTCTGTCTCATTCTCTCTCTCAAATAAATAAATAAAATCTTTAAAAAAAAAAAGTGTAATTATCAGTATCAGTTATCCATCCTAACTCCTTTATTTTCTATATAATTTTCTTTACATTTGAATTTATTCCTTTAACAAATTAAGCAAACTCTCATACATGCACAATACATATACTGCAATAATCATTTAAATTCAGCTGTTCTTTGAACTTTAATAATAAGATAATATAAAAATAGAATGGATAAAAAAGATTATATGTATATACACACACACACAAATACATATACATACACTGGAATATTATTCAGCCACGAAAAAGAAGGAAATCCTGCCATTTGTGACAACATGGATGGCCCGTAAGGGTCACTGCTGAGTGAAGTAAGTCAAACAGGGGAAGATGAATATTCTATAATATCACTTAAAAAAGCCAAACTCACAGAAACAAAGTAAAATGATAGTTACCAGAGGCTGGGGTGGGGTACATGGAGGAGATGTTAGTCAGAGGTACAAACTTTCAGTTATAAGATGAATAAGCTTTAGGGGTCTAATGTACAGCATGGTCATTATCCTTAACAATACTGTATTATATACTTGAAAGTTGTAAAGAGAGTAAATCTTATATGTTCTCACCACAAAAAAGAAGTGGAAATTATGTGAGGTGTTAGAGGTGTTAGCTAAAGATATGATGGTAATCATTTTGTAATATATGAGTACATCAAATCAACACATGTACACCTTTAACCTAAAAGATGTTTTTAATTTTAAAAATAGTGATTATATTAGGTTGGTGAGATTATGAGTGGTTTTTCCCTCAAAAATTTTTCTTTAATGTTTTTACATTATTTTTTTAAAACAAGGAACTATTTATTTAGCAAAGGCTTTCTTAGTACATCTGTCAATAAATGGATTAGTTTAATAATACACATCAATCAATAATATAAATGTTTTTCTTTATTTTTTTCCAGTATGATGGTGAAATTAGAGTCCTGTATTCGACCAAAGTTGCACCCTCCTTAACTTCTAAAAGGTGGGGCACCAGAGATCTGCAGGTGAAGCCTGGTGAATCTCTTGAAGTTATACAAAGCACTGATGATACAAAAGTTCTTTGCAGAAATGAGGAAGGAAAATGTAAGTCACTGCTTACTTTCATCGATACAGCACTCCAGGATTTAATAATCAAACATGTTTTCCTGATCATTAACTTCATTTTGTCTGTGCTTTATGAATTGTGGAATACATTAAGAAACTAGAGATCTTGCTGTGCTGAAATTGATGTATTTTATTTGAATCCTTTTTCATTTCCCACCTGCTGTATTTGGCACTGTGGTGCCAAGGTAATACCAAATTAGTACTTCTCAAATGCGGCCCCACAGACCACCAGCATCAGAAAACCCTTTGTGTATTAAAATCACGGTTGCCTGGATCCGCCCTTGATCCACTATGAGTTCTGGGGAGTCAGATGGAATCTGGGATCGTCACTCCTTCCCTAGCTTATTCTCAGGTACACGAGAGTGAGAAGCGGTGTGCTGAAGGAGTGAGTGGCTCTTGTTCTGGCCTGGTTTTGAAATCATATAGCACATGACACATCTAGAATTTCCAGTCTTCCTACCTTGCACACTTACTTGTTTTCATTTCCTGTTTGGACACACTTCATACGACATAGTATTCCAGATGAATATAAGAGAGTCCCTTGTCTTCTTTCCACTTTATGGGATATTGAAATTGATGGAGGGAAATGTTTTTGTGACATTTGAAAAGGAAGCTTATTTCACTTAAAGTCCAGGGAAGAGTAATTCAAAATTATGCTCCTGTATTTATTTTTTAATTTAATTTAATTTCAATTTAATTCCAGTGTAGTTAACGTGCAGTGTTACATTAGTTCCAGGAGTAAAATATAATGAGTGAGCACTCCCATAGATCACCCAGCACTGATCACAAGTGCACGCCTTCATACAGCATCGTATTCCACATGAATGCAAGAGAGTCCCTGTCTTCTTTGACTTTATCGGCTATTAAAACCGACAGATGGAAATGTTCTTGTCAAATTTTAAAAAGAAGCTTATTTTATTTAAAGTCCAGGGAAGAGCCATTCAAAATTATGTGTCCTATATTTAAAAGCAAAGAGTCAGTGTGGCTGCCCCCATCAGCTTGGTTAGTCTGTGTGGAAAACATGAACTCTGAGTCGAATTTTAATGACAGGAAGGTGACTCAGGGACAGGAACTGAAATGGGAGTTTTAAGAATAAAACCGGTGACTCAAGGTTGGGGAAATGGATCTAAAGTTATCATGGAGGAGGTGTGGTTGGCTTTTAAAAGGAGAAAATGAAATGTGGGTACAAAGGATAAAAGACACAGGTAGTGTAGTATTAAGACTCAAAGGTCACTGGAGATAATGTGTAAACAGTGCTCCAGGAGATGAAGAAAGCCCTCATTCAGACTAGCATTTGTGAGGATGTACCCCAAGGAATAGTTTTACATGCAGAAAAACTCTATGCGTTAAAAGGTCATCAAAAATATTAAAAAGTTTAAAAATTCAGAAAGTGTTAAATAGGTTATGATTATTATACCAGATTGAATATTTACACGATGACTATGATAATAATGTGAGGAAATTCTCACGACACAATAGTAAGAGAAATACGAAGCCTGCTTAATGTGGGATTGGATTTACAGCCAGGTTAAAAAATTATGTAAATAAGAGAAACTAAGCTACGCTGCTAATAGAGGCTGATTGAGGTGAGGAGCCTAAATGAACCTGTTTTCTTTCCTCCACGTTCCAAATTATATTACATTTTTTACAAGAGAGAATTGTCCTAGTACCCTTGTCCTGTGGCCCCTTCTCCGGCGCACAAGCTTCAGACCGATCTTGCCCTGCTGTCCTGAGATTCTTGTGTTTCACAACAAAGCCCATCTAAAGCCATGCTCCTCAACTCCAAAGTGCACACGCATCGCATGGGGATCTCGTCAAAAATGCTAATTCTAATTCAGTAGGTCTGAGGTGAGGTGTAACGTTCCGCGTTTTACCGAGCCGCCAGGGGATGGATGCTGCTGGCCCATGGAACATACTCTCGAGTAACAAGGGTATAAATGGCTTCATCAACAACCTGTATGGAGGTAGATGAGCAGGAGGATGCAGCAGCAGAAACGGAAATTTGGAGGAGACCCTTATCTTTCTAGGAGCCAGTAGACCTTAAGAATGAGAAAAACAGGGGCGCCTGGGTGGCTCAGTTGGTTAAGCGACTGCCTTCGGCTCAGGTCATGATCCTGGAGTCCCGGGATCGAGTCCTGCATCGGGCTCCCTGCTCGGCGGGGAGTCTGCTTCTCCCTCTGACTCTCCCCCTCTCATGCTCTCTCTCTATCACTATCTCTCTCAATAAATAAATAAAAATCTTAAAAAAAAAAAAAGAATGAGAAAAACAGTAATTACTCAGGGATGATTCTGTAATCCACTATCATTTCCTATTTGGACATCAACACTTCTGAATACTGTTATGAATACTGGAGGGCTCCTGCCCTCTTAGAATCTATCACCGGTTAAAAATGAGAAGGGCGAACATTAGGTAAAATGCTGATAGATCACAAGCAATGGCTCCATGTAACTTTTATCGGTTTTTTCTGGAACAGTACCAATGCACTTTACAAGTCCCAAGCTCCCTGATGACTAATTCAAGTCTTAGGTGGTTTGGGGTCCATCTCAAACAGAATGGAAACCTGATGATTCTATCAGTAGGGCTTGTATACCTGATGTTGTTTATTTAAAGACTTTCTTTGGACTCTGGACTTCGTCTTAGCTTCTCCATTTAGGGGTGATTCTGGGAATCGCTTATGAGCAAGTGGAAAAGGAGACAGGAAAGGAAAGGCAGTCAATAAAACCTTGTAATGGAAAAAGTTGCCACTTAGATAATTGGAGCTTATACCCATTGAGAACTCAGAGAGGCAGTGTTATCACAGCCAATGGGAAACAAATTGGGGTATTGATACATCAACTCCTGTCCATGTGGAGTTGAAGCCTCCTCCTGGGCAGGTGGCGAGCCATTCGGGATACCAAGCAAGCTGACAAAGAGCTCTGGAAGCCAGAGAAAAGTGATCAGTTAAAAAAAAACAAAATTGCTGGGCGCCTGGGTGGCTCAGTTGGTTAAGCGACTGCCTTCGGCTCAGGTCGTGATCCTGGAGTCCCGGGATCGAGTCCCGCATCGGGCTCCCTG